GAACCTGCGAGACGAGAAAGAACTCCGGGGAAGAAGTGAAGTTAGTAACATGCATTAATGGGACATGAATGTGTGCAGAAAGAGAGGGAGAGGAAGAGAGGAGCTCAGTGCATAATGGGAAATCCCCCAATAGTCTAGGCCTTTAGCAGCATAACTACTGATAACATCTGATCCAGCCCTAACTATAAGCTTTATCAAAGAGGAATGTCTTAAGCCTACTGCTTAAATGCTGGAGAGGGGGTGTCTGGCCTCCCCTGAAACCAAACAACTGGAAGCTGGTTCCACCCAGGACGAGGAGCTTGGTAACTGAACTGAACTGGTACATCCTACTACTACTATAGTACTTCCATTAATCTGTATTCGTTTAAGATTTTAAATCAAAGCCATGCATTTCAGCCATTGGTTCAGTGGTGCACATTCAGAACCGCCATCATAATAGACCATACACTGTCAAATATATTGTAATTCATATCAATTTGACCTGTAAAGTTATCTGGCAGTTTCGCATTGTGGTTTCTAGAGGGTACACTGATAACCACAGCCTGATCTGCTTTTCACTTTCCCCAAGCAGATTTATCCTGCCACTCCAGGGGCTCCTTCTGGTCACAAGCTCACTTCTCTAACCTTTAGGCCATATTTAGGAATGGTGATAAGAGTTGCTAATTAGGCTTGATTTTGAATTATGTTTTGCCTTTTCTCTTGTAGTAGTATACTAACGTACAGTATATATCTGGGTACATATATTTGTTTTATTCCTTCCTTTAGTGCTCCATTTATATACTTTGTTCTTTTCTATTTCCTATTTAATTGTTTTAATATATTTAAAAAAAAAAATGTTTTAAAATGATGCATACAGTATATTTGATTTTTTTTTTCAAATTCTTGTCCTCCACTTCAGAGGAATCTTTCAAATATCACACAAGTCACTGTACCACTTCCATTGTTAGGCAAAAACTACACTTTAGGTTGCACTTACGTACATGTATATTGCGAGCATTATATAGCTGGTGCAGATGTCTTCAAATGTGAAGTTTGTGCAGTCTTTCTGAAACAAGTGTTAAGTTGCTCTTTAATGTCTGTTGAGAACATGTGAATGTGTATGTTGTCTTACCAGAAAGGCACAGAGCATGTAGAAACTCATGAAGTAGATGATGGCAAAGTTGGATCCACAGGTGTACTCTTCCCCAGGCAGGTAGTCTGACTTGGGGTCACACTTCTTCCCATACATACAAGCCAACATCACTTCATGCCATGCCTCCCCTGTTGCACATCTGTTCAAAAGAGAAATCAAAATTTCACTACTCTATTACTCTGACATTGCCCTCTTGTTAACTCTTTGATTTGGGGAAGGGATTGATTAGCAACTGAAAACCAACTGCTCTAATTCAATTTTCAGTTAAACTGGTTGGTTCAACAATATCAAATTTCAGCAAAATAATGGTTGTAGACATTGACCACATCACTTGCAGTGGTGCAAATTCAGCCTGAAGGATGTGTCCAGATTGAAGTGTACAGTAAATATTAAGTAGCTTTCTTGTTTATTAATTCTAAAAAAATAATAATAATTAGAAAAAAGCTAGAAAAACCAAAATGCAGCTGAGCAAGTGTGATTTAGCACAAAAAATTGCAAAGCATACACTTTTCTGATTCTTCTGACCATTCCTTTTAATGGAATTTTTCTAACTTCACATTGTGGCATGGCAACCTTAACATGCTCCTACAAGGTCATTCATTGTTTTTGGGAACTGAACTCATTATAGACAATAAACTCAGTTTTGAACAACAGATTACTTCTACTCATATGATTATAGAAAAGATTCCATGCCATCTGTTAACTCAGAAACCTTGTAGGCTTGACAGAGGAAGACAGATCACCAACCTGAATAACAGCAGAACAGCTTGTGGGAATGTCTGGAAGTTGTTGTTCCTGTTAACGTATGTGCCGTCAACTAATGCAATTTTACCAAATATCTGAAAAAGAGGGTTATGTTAGGGAAAATAACAAGTTTGGCAACAGGAGAGGCATGAAATGAAGGAAGACGACAGATTGAATAAGGAGACTTATGTGATGTTATACTGTGTAGAAATAAATGAACTAATGTTCAGTCTCCTATTATCACACAGAATCATTACCACTTTTTCTATCATAATTTAATAGGCGACTGTTAAAATCTATATATTTAAATCACTGAATTAATATCACAAACATGCTATTCAGCGACTAGTAGTCGACTAGCAAAATCTTTCATGGTGGTGAATGTGCGTGTGTGTACCTGCATTCCAACCACAGCGTATATAAAGAACAGCATGAGAATTAGCAGGGCCACATAAGGAAGAGCCTGCAACACAAAGACCAATGACAGTCAGATTAAATTAATTATTATTATACTAATAATTCTAAATAATTCTAAATTACAGGCAGGTATGCTGAGTGATGATACTGACCTGAAGGGACTTAATGAAGGTCCACAGAAGATTCCTTATCCCCTCAGAGCGATTCAAAAGTTTCACCAGACGCATAACTCGAAACAGTCTGAAGAATGTGACTGATACACTCATGTTCTCAGAGGACTTCTCAGAGAACGAGAGGATAAATTGGACATTAAATTGTGCCAACTGCTAAATTCCACAAAACTGGATTTCAAGAGAAGTTCAAGCAACTCACCGCAATTGCTTGCATGGGATCCACTGCCTGTAGAAAGACATTTGTTTTCTAAGGCTGCACTGTGACAAATGGCTTTAACCACTTATTGGTTCTCAAAGTTTTGAATTATTACCAACGCATCAACATCAGCAACTAAATATCACTCACAGATAATACGAAAGGTATTTCCAAAGAAAGACAATTAGTGTCTAATAGCAGTCAAGCAGACAGACTTCTGGTTACCTCAGAATAAAGTCAACATTTCTTTTTTCATTTGGAGAAAACAAGGTGTCAAAAAATCCCTCTCAGCATCCTGGGAAATAAGTCAAAAGATCAAGGAGCAACAGTTCAGATTACCACCCCCCCTTAGAAATTTGCCTTTTTCACCGATATAAGCCGATAAGATTGAGCTTAGAACTTTGTAATAACTTCGTTCTTATTGTCTGAATCCCCTTCCCCTTCCTTATAGAAGCAGTGTAAAATAAAAAAATTACAGTAGCAGTACAGTAGTCCAGAAGGGACTAACACTGGCTGTAGGTAGGGCTGTTCATGCATTTGTGCATTCTGCAGCCTTTATAGTTTATCCTTTGCACTTTAAAAAGGCAGGGTTAACAGTCAATTCTGGATTATGTAAAAATAAAGAATTTGTTTTGCAACTTAACATGCTTTTGGAAAGGGGGGGACTGGCTTTTTAACACCTTTATCAGTCTAATCCTTATTCAGACAAATTTCATGCAACATATGATTGTCATGCAAAAGTGAAGCAAGTGAATAGTTACAGAGCAGCCGTGGAGACAGTAAAGTCCTCCAGAGGAGGCCAATGCTGCCTGTGGGAGGGAAACAACAGAGTCAATTCAATTCAATTTCAATTTATTTTTTAGTTGTATTTATAATTTATAACAGAAGATATTTCAGGACACTTTTTTAAATAGAGCAGGTCTAGACCGAACTCCTTATAACATTATTTACAGAGACCCAACAGTACCACCATGAGCAAGCACTTGGCGACAGG